TAAATTAACAGTCAACAAAAGCACCGATATGTATTATACCATAAATTATTGATAATAATTATATTAATACAATCTATCATTAATTATACAAACTGTTTTATTTATTTGTAAATAAATTTAAATACAATTTATGTATAACGAAATAAAATTTGATATTAACAGATATGTGATAAAAATTATATATGTTTATATAATCTTGTATAATAATTTTAATACTATAAGTTATATTTACAATTAGTGCTGTTGTGTTTATCAGTTAATTTGATAGAAGTTTTATTGTGTGAGATCTTTCAATTATATATACTTTATATAATAAATAATAAAACAGAAATTAATTCATAGTACTATAAATAACGTATAAAAACATAACTTATTTATTAAAAGCTAAAGAGTTTAAATATATTTTTCTCCCAAACTATAATACAATAAAGGTATATAATATATATTATATATATGATACAGAGCAACATACTATTGCTACTGTCTATTATTTGTTATATTTTAAAATTATTTTGGTTTTTATTTTCTATTCTGTCTGCTGAAGATGTAAATAAAACATTTACCTATTTATCTTATAATTATCACATCATCAATAAAAAACAAACATTTAATTTAACGAGTTTCATACAATGGACCGAATTGACTGAGCATTGTCTACCCGTTTTATAATTTTAATCCGTGAAAAGCAATGAATTCCGCCGAAAGTGGGCCATGTTGAATCGTGTTAATTTGTCTATTCAGTGAAAAACACTCGGTTGAACTTTCCTCATAATTATGTAAAATAATATAGGTCTACATAAAATATAACAAACACCTTTTAGTATTCAATTTAACCAACATTCATACAATATTAAAACAATATTTGTTACAACAAAATTTCATAAACTGTATAAGTAGAAATATTGTTTTCAACATTGTATAAAATATGCAATATATTAAATTATTAGTATAAGAATAATATTCGAAATTAAGTAAAGTTACTCATAATATTGATTACAGTTTTATTTTAGTAATTTATAATAAAAAATACATTACTGCACCGGAATTCTGTTTAATCTTAAAAATAACAAATTAATTAAAAATAACACTTAAAAAGGTGTACATTTTATATACTATAATATCTGTGCATAGTGTGATTTTTAGTTAAGTATTATTATATTAAATAATAATGTATAATACAAAATATAGTGCGTCACATAAATCATCCTTTAATTTTCTGATATTTGATCCTATTTACGTGGTTTATTATTAATACTAAATGCTAACTATTTTACAGTCAAAGAAAAACATTTATTGTACGATGATATGTTAGTATGTGTATGAAATAACTCAGTTTGACTGATGTGATAATTCCAGTCACTGATGAAAAATATTTACAGTCATTTATAAACATAATTTAATCATGGTGAAATATTTACAATAATATTTCATTATGAAACACATATTAAGTTACATTTTTGATAGTATAAGTTAATAATAAATTTGTTAAACAAACGCATTTACAATATATTTATGGATTTAAATTGCATTCTCCATTCATATAAATAGGATATGTGAACGATAAAGTATTACAAGAACGTAATATTCTTCAACTGTAAACAATTGAATGCCATTCGTGATAGTTCCCGATATGAATAGAAGGAATGTTCATATAATACCTACCTAGTTTTTCATAAAATATTTTTTAATATAGATATTTACAATATGAAATAAATAGTGGAAAGAAAAACACGATATCAATATGATATGGTGACAGTATTTTGAGATATGTTGTAATTGTATGATATAGCTTCTATTATGTTCATAATGAATTAATAATTATTTTATTATGAAAGAACATGAATAATTAAATACATGTATTATAAGATTTAATCTTATGTGCCCAGAGACAATTCGATAAATGAATAAATAAGAAAATTATTGAAAATAAATTGTTACTTATATATATAACGTGTGTTGTTATTAATAAAAAGATAGATATTTACAATTTTTAATAATATAGCTTTTATTACATCGCAATTATTTATTATTGTTTGTATATTACTAATAAATTAAAATAATAGTAAAGTTATATTCAAACATATTTTCTGTTTAGTAATATGATTCTGATAATCTTTTATATTTAATTTATTTTACTGTAACATGCAAGTATTGTACACATAAATCTTTCTCTTGAATCACTCAGTCTATTTCTGAAAACTGCATTAGAATCCGATGCGTAATTTAAAAGATATAAGTGAAAAGACAGCCATTTTCATATGTGTATATATAATCACAACGACATATTACAACACAAAATACTGCAACCCAATCGAATTTATAAATTAACTTGATTTATGTGGATGATGTCTCGGTTGGGAGATTTTAATCAGCATAAAAATTATAATGAGTTCAAATAACTTTATTTTATGTAATTGGAATAGCAAACAGTTTGACAGTTTATCTAATGGTAAGCAGTAACCGTCGCCTATATACTCATGGCAAGTATGAATACGTTATCACGGTACACTCGCGATACCATTAATACTTTGCCATTCGAGAGGAATAAGATGTCATAATTCTTATCCTGTAAATTGATTGTCAATTCTGTATTCTACACAGCTTACAAATTAAGCAGTTTTGCGTCTGAAATAGGTTGACTGAGGTACTTACGTAGACTTTTCACAGTCTAATAGTTATCATTTCGTGTATAAATAACTGTTTCAAATTTTTAATCTATACATATAAATAAAATTGGAGTGTCTGTTTGTAATAATGAAATTACCATTTTTAACTACATGCATACGAATAGAAATACGGTACACCAAAATAATATTTTTTACAATGTTTCACAGTCAGACAGTCTGTTTGTTCCGGCTAATCTTTGAAATGGCTGGACCGATTTTGACGGGACTTTATTTGGCAGGTAGTTGATGTAATAAGGAGTAAATTAAGCTACTTTTATTTTAGAAAAATGAAGTTAATTGCGGGAATAGCTAGTATAGAATAAAAACTACCTTTAAATACAACCAAATTTTATAATTTCATTAAAGTTTTGTAGACACTTATATGGAGGTCCCAGAAAGCGATTAACTAAATGGAACACCGCACAACACCCTCTTAACCCAGTGACGATTAAATAGACTGAGTAGAAAGTTATGTTACTTGGGAATGATTGTCGAAAACGTTATCTTGAAAACTCGTTTGTTATTCAATAAGGAGACAGAGTGAGTACTTTGAAAGTAGATTAATTACTTAACAACTAACAATACAGAAACTGTTGCATGAGTAGATGTGTATGCCCATTTTGTAAGTTGAGAAGTTATAAACTCATGTATATGGTTTCCAAATGAAAATTAATAATACATAAATAAAGAATCTTTACATTAAACAAAATTGCCGCCGCTGTCTGTTGGTTTATATCTTTCAAATTACGCAATGGGTTTTAATGCAGTTTTAGCAATAGATATTCAAGGGGAATATTTATATGTATAAAACAAGACAAGAAATTCAAAAATTTGTAAAGCATCCGTGCGAAGTCAGAATGGTTTGGTAGTATAATATAAAATAAATATAAAAGAATTCATATATAATTAAAATATATTTTTTATCTTCTAATCCAGAGCATTAATTGTTAATTCTAGAAGAATGAATAAGAAACACAACTGTAACTCTATTCAAACCAATTTACATTTTTACAATTGTTAAAATGTCTACATTAAGATAGATTTTAAGTTTTTTTATATGTAAACGGCAAATAAGTAGACTGCCATCGGATCGTAAGTGGTAACTTGTCACCTATATATATAATACCATGAAAATTATGCTATCAAGTTAATATACCACTATAATACCACTCATGCACTTACTAAGCTTAGATGTCATACTTTAAGAAGCATGACATCTAATCTAAGTCAGTGACTTAGTAAGATAGTGAGTAGTTAGACAGTTTTCTAATTTATTGTAAATTGAAAGAACAGTTACACGGCCTACTACATAAATAAAAATTCAGAACCAACAGTTTATCGACTTATTTAATTAATTTTCAAAATTGTCTCGGACACAATTAGACCAGTCAATATTACACGCAAATGTAGAGAATGTATTGTATTACATTATAGTTACATTACATTAGTACTGTACAGTTATGTACACTCTCACTAATGGTCCGTTTTAACAAAGATCCTTGGACGGTATACCAGCATTAGGATCTTTAACAGCATCCGTTCTACGGAGTACTGGACAAAGAAGAATATAAAAATGACATACTTTTAGAATTAATTAAACCATCCAAAGAACAATAGCCTGTGATCTCTTATTTTTTTAACTCTTTATCAGAGTCCTGTAAATATTGTACTTTAAAATTACTTCTAGAATAAAAGAAAAATTTAGACAAATATTACTTTGTAACAATCTGTATTATTTTAGTATTTCCAATCTGTTGAAGAGTTATATTCATAGTCATTAAAATTATTAGTTTTGATCTGCCTTTTATTATTTAGCGATTAATATTTCATTGATAATGCATATTGTAATTAATAATAATGATTGTTTAAATTTCATCTAGTTATTACTGTTTCAATAAGTCTATTCTCCTTTAGACAACTTAAAATTATAATGTAGCATTAAAAATAAATATTGTTCAATGTAATAAAAAAGGTAATAAGTTTTGAAGTATTTCTTAACAGAATTAGCTTAGTTTTAGAAAGTTGATCTTTGTAGTCCTGAACCACTTAGAGCGATTACTTAGAACAGTACTCAATACTACTCGTAACATAAAACTGTTGTGTTATTTAAAGTTTCAGATTAAACTTTAATTTGAAGTTAACTATAACTAAATTTGCTTCACGGCCAAAATATTCAATAATTGATTATGATGTGATTAGCTATTACTGTGAAAAGGAAAACGTTCGTTAGACCTAATAACAATATTCTTTACGAATATTACAAGATTACAAATAGAAAAATACATGTAACATTTTTGTCAAGAAAGAAAAATAAGGAAAAATTCAATGCCTCCAGATAATTCGTTTACCCCGCGTTGATTGTAGCCGACTGTGTTTCTAGTGTGTCAAATATATTCCTGCGATATCCAATAGTCACCGTCTCTTGTCTAAATTGGTCATCTAACTAGGTCACCTTATATCTCCGTACTCCGTCCCAAATACAACCAGTATGGCTGCTAAGAGTAAACTTATGTAGCTGGTCGTAGTCTTCACACCACTTTGAAGTTCTGCAAGGCTGGATCCTGTGCAAAGAAACCAATTAAGAATCTATCAAACCACATGAAGACATAGACGACTCGCTTTACACGAATAGTAATAGAATTAATTTTGTATAATCTGCCGATGAAACTAAAGGTATACCTCTGGCTTTATCGGCATTCTTACTACATTTTGCCATTTCGTAGGACTTCGATTAACAGATTTATTAATGGCAACGCACGTAGGATCAGTACGTCACCATTTTTATGTGATACACGCAGACAGATAAGCTTAGTTTTCGTCTCGTAACGATTTTATGGTTTTTCTTTCTTGCACTGTTAGATACGGTCAATATTATTTACTTAGTCAATATTAATTAGAGAAGATATGAGCAAAGGTGGGCAAATTTTATAAAAAAAATAAAAAAAACGAATCAATTAATTCACATTAAACAACTCTTAAAAGCAATTGCGTCTATGAATACAGACAGCATGAATTTAGTAAACCTATTTTAGTTAATGCTACTATAGTACATTAATTATGCGTTAGCATTCCTGAGGATTAAAGGAGTATATCCCATTTCTGTATCTATGCTTGTATAAGCATCTAATAATAATACATTTAAGGCTATTGGAATATTTGGAATAATTACTCACAAAAATGTTTAAATAGTTCAAGCATGAAAAACAAAAATTATTTCAGTCACTTCTTTCTAATTTTATCCGTCAATAAAGTTATATTGTTTATGTTGAAATTAAATATATTTTAATCTATGTTTAGAGAAAACTTTAAGTTAAACAGTTTAAATAATTTTACGTCAATTAAAGTTTTCGAAGACTCAGAAATGAGTTTGAAAACTTGGTTATAGTTAGTAGTTTATATTATTAATATGTACTTGAGATATTCTACAGTTGAAATGTTTTATTTTGTGAACTAAATTTATAATTAACCTCGTTAGGAAGCAAAAAAATTATCCCTAGAAATGAAGATTCCCGCTAGGACTGTCGCGTATTATATGTAAAACAAGACCTGAAGCTCGGCGCTTACCGTCGATATACAGGACATGTCCTAAATCAATATTTACAATAAAAAAGAGTGGATCAATCAAAACGCCTACTATCGCGATACGCAGGTGAAAGGCACAGAAGCGTGTCTTATCAAGTCACAAAACTACATTTTTGTGGAAAGGAATGAAAACTTTAGCCAAAGTTAGAGGTTTCATAACATGATCTACGACTGTATCTTGTACAGTCTTAGATCATGTTGAGAAACCTCTCAGCAATACACTTTTTAAAAATATACCGTGGAGTTTTTAGCAGGACTCTGCATCTGATCATAAAGCACGAACTATCCAAGCCTCGCTTGAAATAATAAAGACATTTATTCAGTATTACAGTATTCTTATAAGCTATCTATCTTATATACTATACAATTTAAAAGCTAAAACATACTAGTAACGCTGAATGTGACTCATTTCTGACTCTGAAATCAAAGTTCTGCACTTTATAAGAGCTGAAGACTGGCCCAGACTTCAACCGTTTAGACTTCAAATTATGGTCAGTTTAATAGGACATAGCCTGGTTTAAAGGACACGGCGACTTAAATCTCTAAAAAAGCCCTTGGTGCAAGCAGTGGTGAAATTTCCCTTGGAAACAGTACGTAATTCCACAGATTCGTGACCCAACAGATTAAAGGCTTGTATAAAAGCCAAAGATGGCCATTTCAAATATAATATTATTTTATTTTTTGCTGAGACTTTAATAAATATGTGGGTATAAATTTTAATAATATTACCTTACTTCATTAAAAAACTGCATTTTCGTTTGTAACAAAACTCATGGCTGGACTAGGTATATATGTATATATGTATGTGTGTGTATATATGTGTATATATACATACTATGTATAGTATATTAATAAGTAAAGCAAAAACTGTATGTGCTTAATGTGAAACAGTAAAATAGGTTTGGTAACTGAAAACAATGTCATTTATGTAATTTATCTTTATGGCAGTACCCCTACAATTCTCTCTACTCTCGCTAACAGAGCATCTTTCATCTTCATCCTTATCTGTTTTCCTTTTTCTCTTCCACTTTAATTTCCTTTTTGTTAGATTTGATTTTAAATCCATATATACATATCTTTATATATTATGAAACGAAATCGCTTCCGCTGTCTGTTCACTTAGACTTTTTAAATTACGTAACTAATTTTAATGCAGTTTTTAGCAATAGATAGAGCAATTCAAGAGGAGGAAGGTTGATATGTACAATATATTTACACCCGTGTAAAGCCAGGGCGGTAGATAGTATATAATAAAAATGTAACAATGTCTATACATGGAAAATATATATGAAAAACAATTACTTTTATATTAGGAGTATTATCAGCGTAATATAACTGAAATCATTGCTAAAATTTTTGTCAGTTTGTCTGTGCACGCTATCTATGGTTTGACTGATTTATGAGTAGTATACCAATGTATTGTGGTAAGCTTCAGTTAAAATTAAACTTTTTTAAACGTACACAGGGCTGTCTAGTCCCAAACTAAGCTTAGCTTCTATTATGAGTACTAGGTAACTGAAAGTAACATTTAAATATATATTTTTTTTGTAACTACATAATATACGTAGAAAACACACAGACCAATACAAACAATCATACCCATGAATACAAATATATGGAGACAGAAATCAGAAATGTGGTGTTTTAGTTATATCAACAGTTTATATGTAAAAACGTAACTATTGCGTTACTGAATACCATTGGTAAAAATTTGCGGACTCAATATTAGTAACTATCATCATCATCATCATCATCATCTGCTTCTTCCTTATCCCATTTATTTGGGGTCGGCGTAATATGTTTTTCTTTTCCATTCATCTCTGTTCGCAGTCATTCCGCAGTAATATTATTACAAAATGTTATTATTAGGTACCAAAAGTGTTGTAACTGGTTAATGAAGAAATGTTTAATATTCCAAATTTGCATTTAAAATTTATAGTTCCTTTTGTAGACTCTTGTTTTGTTACTTTCATTCTATTCTGTTACGTCAGTAGTCTATATTAATTAATATTTTTCCCCGTTTACGTAGTCTTTTTTCTTATTACTACATGAATAAACTACAACAAAGAGTAAGGTATAATGGAAATAACATACTTATTAATGTAATACTAAGCTTTAAAGCCTTAAAAATAAAGGCCGCTTTTATTCGACACTTTCTTTCTTTTGACAATTTATTTCATAAATTCATCAATATTTACGGTTTAAAAATCTATATTCATTAGATTTTTAAAGAGTGAATATTGATGAATTTATGAAATAATGTAAACATCTATTTTCTCAAATATATAAGACAGGATTACTTTGCAATAAACCTGTATGTATATGCAAAACATTTTTTTATACTAACTTCATCGTTGTAAAATGTTCTAACAACACACATTGTTATTATTTACTTTACATGTACTCTGTGTGTATTTCCCTATAAAATATACATATGTAAAAGCCCCTAAAACATTAAAAAGAAATCTGTATCCTAACGACCTTTATCTAATTTACTGGTTCGGTATCAGTTCTTAAATTTTTTTTTTTGTATTCGATCACTTTTCTCTCTGGTGACTTTAATTCTTATTAGCTTGTTCCATAATTGTTGTTCTTTATAGTCCTTTTACAGACCTTAACTCTTTATTTTTCCCCATAACCCTATACTTGTTTTCTCCCAAAATTCCTCCCCGCACTACAGAATGTCCCAATTTTGGAGAAAATCTCCAATCTGGCTTTACTGCTTCTGCTTATTTTATGTCAATGAAATATCAACGTTTCGAAATCGGAGAGACACGTCAGAACACGTCAGTACTCGTCTGTCATACTTCGGAACGTTGATATTCTTGTTTATTGGCATCTACAGAAATCTGTCAATAAACAGCGTAGGAACAAATCATGCTTATTTTATAAATTCACAATTGACAGCGGAAATTAGAAAGTCAATATTGATCTGTGGTGGAACTAAGAAGTCAAACGCTATATTGTTATATTTAAAGAAAAAAGACATTCAAGATTCGCTTTGTTGATAAAATGCTCGATTTGACTTTATAAGGTAAGTAAACAATAAAATGCTATGTTCCTTGTAAGGCCAATAATTAAATAGTAGTTGTTTTTTTTTAATTGATCCTATAAGGATCATGGGTTTCCATGGTCCATCCACAGAATATACAGTATTAGTGAATAATACCCGAATGAACGAATATTCGGATTTATCCGCAAAAAAAAAATATCTCAGAAATTATATCAGTTGTCTTGTACCCATAACACAAGCTCTACTTAAGTTGGGACTAGACAGCGTAGTGTGAATTGTCCAGGGGTATTATTATTATTTTAAATCTACTTCCTAAGATTGAACTGAAGTTAAAGTTAACCTGCCTGTAACTACATTGAGCAAACTATATGTAGTCTACAATTTCGACGTTATGTGCGTGCTTCCTTTGTAGTTACACGAACTAATCTCTAGACTTTACTCAACTTTACTAATAAGATAACGAAGTCTCATGTTCCTGTATAAAGTTGTCCTCTAATAGTTGCAAACAAAAGGGTAGACTTAAGTAATTCTTGAACGAATACAACAATACTATTTAATATCAACCACATCAGAAAGAACTAGTTTCTTAAGTTTCTGAGGACGCTCTTCAGAATATGGAATAAATTATTCAGGTCTTTAAAGTCAGGCAATTTATGTATAATTTATTCGTTTGTATAAATTGTTTGAAGTATATTATACATCGGGTTTGAGGAATCTTATACAGTTAGAGTTTTATCCGTCAATTTTCCGCTTTTATTTCATCTCACACTTTTTACACAAATGAAAACAATGCAATGAAAGAATGAATTTTAATACACGCTTTATTTCAAACCTTCAAGTAAACGTATTTTTGTATTGTTTCATTACATATTCTGTATAGGTTTACAACAACGTTCGAGTGCCCTCCTTGTAGCTCGCGACTCTTTTACAAATTAAATTATAATTAATATATGTATTGAAGAATTAGCATAAGAAATACTTATCATCTACATTACATATTTAGTATATAAATAAATAACTATAAACGTCTATTAAAAACAAGTGCAATCCGCATTTCAATCTCACTGTACAAGGAGGTGATTATTGCTTCCTAAAAAGTGGAGTTTTACACTATAAATTCTGTAAAATTTTAAGAATATAAAAATGTATAGTTTGTAAAAAGTAATATAGGTGAACGCCTCAGTCTCGCCTATTTCAGTCACCAAGAATTTCCCATTATTAGATGTATTTCGGTAGAAAAGTTAGTGATATTACAAAACATGGGGGCATGACTGTCCTGCGGAATGGCAATGCATGAGTGGTATCCTGAGCGTCACATGACAACACGATATTTGTGGGTTACCACTAAGTCGATCTCCCGTCCAATTCAAAATTACGACGGCTTGAGTCGAGGTTCGAAGCCCTAGCGGTATCCTCAGACTAAAGTCCTACGGATACTATTTTAGTCTGAGGGCGGGAATTGGTATTCAGCCGCTCTATAAGTCCTTCCGCGCATTTGGAGTGCCATCTGCACTCACTCCCGTTGAAACTGTAAAGCCGAAGTGTGGCCAACAACATTAGAGTAGACCGGAAATCTTTTGAATTGAGTTTATATACTGAACTGGACGGTAGAGAAAAAATATTAATGCGAAAAATGCGACGTTCATAAGCGGCAAAAATGTCCAACATGAATAAATGATTGTTGATTTAAATGCTTGTATATATACAAGCATGGCCTGTCTTTGAAATCTACAAGTAGCACTCGTATACATACATACGAGTGCTGCTTGTAGAGACTGTTCTGATCTAACAATATCTGATTTAGTTACTCAACCAGTTGGTTGTATATTTAATATTTTCTCTATTTGAGTATTTCATTAAATTAGTGTTAGTGTAGTGTGTATTCACACACTTCAACTTAAAAATGTAAAATAACAACAGAATTATTTAAAAGAGCAACACGTAGTTTCTTGCTCATTCTTCTTGATGAGAAAGCTTTGAATGAGCGGTAGATGGGAAAAAAATGTGATAACTATTAGAAAGTGCTTCAAAGTATGCAGTCCAAGTTTATTTCAATAAATTATTTTCTATTCTATACCTTTCCAATTATATATAAAAAATGATCTGCAATTCAATGTGAGTTTTGTAGATTTTGATATTATGTTAAATTACAAGGCAGATCCAGTTTACATATCGCGTGTGGCGTGTGTGCTAATCCAATATATAGCACGACACGGTCATTTAGATTTAAATGACTACGCTAAAGAAATTCCATCCCATGTTAACGTCACGTATGTCACGTGACAGACTGAAATAGTCTCATATAAACATATATTTAACCTAATTAATCTAGTAGCTAATTAATATTTTTCAATGCCAAGTAGGAGTCTGAGAGACTACTATTTATATCTTAATTTGGCTCATGTGTAATCATGATAATGATTGAAATTTATGATTAAAAATATTCCAAATGTAGCTATAGTTTTATTATAAAATTTCTAAGAAATAATATTTTTATATATACATACAACGAAGGATTATATGTATATCAGCAAATTTGTTCGTTTATTTAAGTATAGAAACAACCAAAGTTTAGTATAATAAAGGAAGTTACGTTTTCAAAATTTTGCTTAATAAGTAGCCTGATAGATCTAAATAGTAATAGTATTATACCTAATAGATCTAGATAGTAATAATCTAAATAGACTATTTTAGATTATACTAATAAACATTTCGGTTTTTAGAACTAAAGTTTGAAGGACACTTTTTTATTTTTTTTTACATGTCCAAAAAAGTATATAATTCTTTACGAAATATGATTACTAGAGTCGATTTTTTGTTCGCAAGATGACATTAGTTATTTCTTAAAAATAAAAATAATAAATTTAAATATGGAATGTCTAACGTTGAGCTGTGATATTGTTTTGTTTCTATTAGTGAAATTATAAACACATTTCTTACATCTCACATCTATATATATATATATATATATATTACTATTACCACCACCTATATATATATATATATATATATAATACTCGTATTTCTCCGACAAGTCGTCTTTGATATATACTGACCTTGTAAAACATGTACTCTTGCAACAGCTTTCATGTGTAATGGTGCTTTCAATGCACACGTGTAGTTTCCGGCATCCTCCACTTTCAGTCGAGACACCTGTCATCAAAAATACATCTTATTTTAAATATATTTAAAGTTGCTACACTAAAATCGGGTGCATTTATTATATATTTAATATAGAAAACTTACTACGCAGCTTTCAATATATAAAAAAATCTATTAAGGTGTTTTAAGTTCATCTATTTCAAACAAAAAAATAATGTATTTCCTATTTATAATATAAGGTTAAATTACAAAATATTATTTATTTATTTTAGTTATTGATCACTAAAATTTGAATAAAAGGTTGACTTAATGCTATATCATTTTCTCCCAGTCCACCTTTGGTATGTGCAGATATACTTGAATACTGCTAAAAGAATAAAGATTTATAATATAATTATAATAACAAAATTTACATAAATACATAAATATATTAATAGAATAAACTACTTTTTAATACAATAAAAACTGTAATAATATATACAAAAAAAAATTATTGTAACCAACGAAAGTGAAATAATTTTACAAATAGTATAGTAATTCTGAAAGCTACTTTCCCCGTAACAATATCCGCTCTATATTTGCAATATGGTATACTAGGGACCTTATACAAAACTTCATGTAACCAATTAATATGATTTCTATTATCTTTCCCATACAATAGAGATGCGAAGTTATCTCACAAGGTCCGCAACCTGTGTATACCAAAAGGTACCTCAATTATTAAGTTAGCCTATTGACTATACAATAGTTTCAATTTCAATGGAACATGCGTAACCGTGTATATAATGTTTGCGGTAACAAACGTAAGCAAATTCCAAAATTTCAATATCGGTTTACATTGAAACTTCTGTTTTATATTACGTCAGATAATATGGAGAATAAACGTTAATGAAAACTTTTACATTCTGACTATCTAAGTTCTCGACATTCTTCGTTTAATTTAAAAGAAGTGACAAGTAAATTTGCCTTTTATACAAACATTGTTATATAATATGAGGATAGTAAATGATTTTACTTGATGATAATGGAACTGTGCATCCGTCTGTGCCAATAGTTTACGCTGGCGGGGTACCAATGGAGGATGATCAGATAAAAATATGCTCAGATCAGTTAGCGTTTTGTGATAAATTCATCAGGAATTTCTTATTATGGTTTCTAGTGGGAATCAGGTGGAGATCAACCTGACATACCATATTTCTAGCAATGAGGTCATCAGTCACAGTACTAACAATCCCTTTCCCGCCCGATGGCAAGTGATTACCGCATATGGAAATGCATGTTATTATTCTTGTATTATAAAATATTGTTATTGTTAAACATTTATCACAATATATTAATCTATTAATCACACATATTTCGATCAAAAATGTTGATGTTCGCAAAATTAACAATCAATATTAATGGCAGCCATTTAAGATAAAAAAGAAGAATAAGATTTTGTATCTATATACTTTTTGTACCGGGATATTCATATAATATATTTATTATATAATATAAATATATTTATTATATTTCAGTCCACTAATGGCCCATATTATAATACTAATATAATATTGTTTATGTGGTCACATCACTGACAACGGCAATCTACAGCGGTAGCGGCGATACATAATACATATATACATATATATATGTATCGCCGCAATTTATTTATGTATCGTAATAACTGTACTTACTGTATCACTCCTAATCTAAATATATATAACTCAAAGGTGACTGACATAGTGATCATCAACGTACAGCCCAAACTACTAGACGGATCGGGCTGAAATTTGGCATGGAGGTAGATGTTATGACGTAGGCGTCCGCTAAGAAAGGATTTTGATTAATTCTACCCCCAAGGGGATAAAATAGGGGATGGATGTTTGTATGAAACTTTGTCAATTATAAACCGATCGGCCTAAGACCTTTCATGCATAAAGCTACTATGAGGTAGGTATCCCATAAGAAAGGATTTTAATAAATTCCACCCCTAAGGGGATAAATTAACGCGAGCGAAGCCGCGGGCAAAAGCTAGTTATTCATAAAGAAATATCCAATTTTATTCTTATCTGATCCCTAATTCCAGTCATTAGTATCACGTTACAACTTTTATCTCTATACGATTACTGAAATCTTTATCTCAAAATTTCCTAACAGAATACGTAATATATCTTTAGAATTCCAATTAAAACTCTGGTGAATAGAATAAATGAATAATTCATTGTTAATATAAAATAATGAGAATCCAACTGGCGTCGATCGATCTTTAGACTATTCCGAACAATCGTTTAGAATCGAGTGAGATATGTGAGTAATGAATCATACTATAATTTAATATGATGTATTAGCAAAATTCCAATAAAGTTCAGCCTACTCAGTCTGTCTACATTCATTTCAGGTCACTATATAATACTAGCTGTACCGGCAAATCTTGTTTTGCCATATAAAAAACAGGGGTTGATAGTAGAAGGGTGAACATTTGGGGTTGTATGAATTTTTCAATGCCACATTATAAAAAAATTGTCCAATAAATCCCTTGTCTAATACCCTTATCACTGAATGGTATGAAAAATAGATAGTAGCCGATTCTCAGACCTATTGAATACGCATATAAAATTTATTAAAATCGGTCAAGCCGTTTCGGACGAGTATTGTCACTAACATTGTGAACACGAGAAATTTATATATAATACAACGATGTATTGAAATATTAATATTTTTTTTTTATAACACAGGGGACAAACGAGCATGCGGCTCACCTGATGGTAAGTGATTATCGCCGCCCATGAGCACCCGCAACACCAGGGGAATTGCAAGTACGTTGTCGGCCTTTTAAAAAGGAATAAGCTCTTTTCTTGAAGGTTTCAATATCGTATCGGTTCGGAAATACCATTGCTGGCAGGTGATTCCACAATGTGGTTGTGCGAGGCAAAAAGTTTCTAGAAAACCGTACTGTGGAAGACCGCCGTTCATCCAGATGATCAGGATGGTATTTCAGTTTCTGGCGGGTGGTACGGTGGTGAAACTCAGCAGCTGGTATTAATCCGAACAATTCCTCAGAACACTCCCCGTGATATATGCGGTAGAAAATGCACAGAGATGCAATATCTCGCCGCAAAGCCAATGGGTCGAGTCTGTCACATAGACGTTGATTACCAATGATAATATACTATTAAGTAATATCACAGGTGGTGTTTTAAAAGTATTCACATAGATTATTATTTCAACCATTCAGGGGGATGTTGGCAGCTTCCTAAAGTTTGTATCTTGATCTATAATTAACAGAACATTGTATAAACTCATTCCATTCTTCCCAACTTTTTTTTAAGTAAAACCTTAACATATAGACAGACAGTTATTATATGTAAAGATTAAGATTATCACATACTAAAATATTGCAGGCTTTATGTCAGTGTAAGTATTCATCGGTGAAATCTATTTCTTGAGATAAATGATTGAATCGATGGACGCACTCGGACGCAGGTGGGGTCGTGTGGGGAGATATATCTTCAACAATGGATGATGGATAGGTTGAAATGATAAATGATGATGATAATCATATTTTTTAAGGATACTATAATTATATACTATAAGTTATTTATTAATCATTACTTAAGATGCAAAGTAACGTCGGCATCTCGTTTTACCTATTTTAACTGGCTTCAGTTGAAGGTATCCTACTAATATTATAAACGTGGAAGTTTTTAAATACCTGTAGATGGATATATGGATGTTTGTCACTCTTTCCCGCAAAAACTACCGAACGGATTTTAATATGGCCATACTTCAGAATAACATATAGGCTATAAATTTAATGGTGAAACTGCTGGCACAACAGTCTCATCGCATATGAAACAATAACTACAGAGAAAGACAATTTAGTCGTCAGAAATGGCACCACATGAGAGACAATATAGGCGTCTCTTGTACTCTATAATGTTTATACCGATGTTCATACATCTACAGTTACCATTTTAAATCATACTTACTATTTTATTTAAAAAATAAGTAATGTTTTTTATGCAGTAATTATTCAATAGACCTATATGATATGTCAAATCTACCGTAGCATGTAATTTCGTAGACGACGTTAGGAATGAATCTCAAAAATTTTGTTTTGTGTTAGTAAATTTTTTTAACAGGCATGGAATTGTCTTGTAAGTTACATTTTAACACAATTGTATTATAAGAATTGAGTAAGAAGAACTAAAATCGGAAATATAAAAAAGACGCAATAAATCCATATTACACGCAATAGGTAGAGTTTTTATTAATTATACATAATTTCGTAGAAATGAATAATATTTATACTACATAACCTGAATATATTTGATCGGTATTTCTAGAAACAAGATATAGGGCAAGAGAGTGTTTTTCATTAATTTTACAAGCAAAATATTTTATTAGCCCGTTTAGAGAACTTTTCTTTTTCTTTAATATTCATAATTTATTTGATTTACTCTTTGTTTGTGACAACTTGAAACGAACTTGTTTTTATTTAATATGATGGAGAAACGCAATCAAAGGAAATGCTATTAATATTGTGGTGGTTTTTTTTTATATGGTTAAGACGAATTTATAATTATTAATTTCTGACGACAAACTAAAAGATTAAAAGAAAATTCTAAGCTGAAACTGAAAATCAATTGGTTTAGATAGCGGATAGGTGCGTGTTTGATTCCAGATAGAGCTTACAATATGTTTTATTGTAAAATATTATTATTGCCATTGCCATTCGAATTTAAATACAAATCATTACATAGTGTAAAACAAAGTCGCTGTCGCTGTCTGTCCCTATGTATGCTTAAATCTTTAAAACTACGCAACGAATTTTGAAGTGTTTTTTTTTAATAGATAGAGGGATTAAAGAGGAATGTTTATATATAACACATATGTACAATATACAATACTAATAATATAATATAGTTTTAAATAAAGTATGCAGATGATTTTGTACAATGTCTAGCTAAGTAAGTCCGCTCATAACTAGGTTAGTTAATAATAGAATATCAATTAGAAATCAATGTAAAAGAAACTAAGCAACGAAAATCATAAAAAAAAATGTGAGA